CACTGTGCAGTCGAGTCAACCTGTTGAACCAACCTATTCCCCCGCTCGCCTGTGGGGGCGCTGCACCAAGAACTACTGAAAGAAACGACACAAAAACCTCTGACGACCCGTCTTCTTCTGTAAATAAAAATAAAAACTAAGTGGCATCAAGTTTTAGCAGTTTTAGGAGTTATATTTTGTCATTTTTCAAAAATGGACTTAGCATGAGCAGAAGATGAGACAGAAGACCATGGAGAATATTGGTTTTCCACACAAGGCAGCTGACAGCTCCATATGAGGTAAGAGAAATGTGTGTTTGTTTACCCTGCGGAGTGGGGCTCGGTCTGTTTACATTCACACTGTACTCGAACCGCGCTGGAGTTCGCTTCTACCGGACCGAGACCTAGGTTTTAGCCCAGGCCAGAGTTTGCCTTTTTGTTCCATGACAGAGTTCGATGGCGCGGTCACACCTCCCTAAACGAACCGGACTTTCTAGGAAAACGAGCTAGAGTTCGATTAAAGCGGACTAAACAGGGCTGGTGTGAATACACCCTTAGTGTTGTACATTGGGCCAGACACTGAACCCCTCATCACCTCCGATGTGTGACCCATCGGTGTATGAATGTGATCTAAAGCTTTGATTAGTCTCATTAGAATGATTTGTTCAATTAGTCCTGATGCATGCTCAATAATCCAGGTAGAAAAATCTAAAAAAGTAAAATCTGGTCCTCTGGACATTCAAAAAAACAAAACAAAGCAAAACAACAAAAAAATGTAGAAACGTTTCGTCTCTCATCCGAAAGACTTCCTCAGTCTCAGGTGCTGTATTCAGCTCAGTCTTATAAATATCACCTTCTCAGAGTGGCTCAACCAGTTTTGCTGCTGACAACCAAAACCAGATGCTCACATGATCATGAAGGACCATCAGCCTAACGATGAATCATTAGCACACTGATGGCTGTTTACTATTCACAGAGGGCTGAGTGATTCTAGCAATAACAGCATTATAAGAGGGGGACAGTTGAACACGGAGGCCTCCACCCCTGTTTAAT